TGGAAAGGATGACCTCCAACTGAGGAATCCATACTTGATAGAGTCAAAATTTATGGACAGAAATGTATAGAGAAACGTGAACAAAACCCCAATGTCTGTTGTCTGCGTCTCGAAATCTTGCTTTTTTTTCTCCCTTTGTTCGCTTGTTCTCTCCCCTGGTTACAGCTCTAAAAAAATAACATCATAAATAAAGGCATGAAGAAAACGAGAGTAAACAGATAAATCAGTTGATAGAATACCAACGGTGTAATTTGTTTTGCTCACCTGTATCACTTACGTTTCATTTTGCTTTTTCTTTCATAATAAACAATACTCGTAAAATAAGAAAAAGAAAAAAAGTAGAGGAAAAATAAATAAATAAGAAAACAAGTAAAAAATAAAGATGAAAAGAAAGATAGATAAGAGAAAGAGAAAAACCAGTTGTTTTCACATATGGTCTAGGATATGAATTACCGTTATTTGCACCGTATCATTTCGCTCCAAAAGAATCGAAGTCGGCAATTTATTTTAACATAAAACCTTGATCAACGGGATAGAATAAGTTTTTGCCATTTATTCGGAATTCTTTGCTCCATCCTTCGCATAATTTCCACACTTGGATATAGATTAAAATTTTCGAATTCATACTTGTTTCTTTATTGAAAAAAAAACTTGAAACACAATTGATCATAACCTTTCATACATCTTTTCTGTGTGAAAGAAAAAAAAATGATGGTGATAATGATGGACATTTACTCTCGTATTTATAAACATGTATACATTTCCTTGCAACTATTATATCAATTCGTGTATTTTTCTGACAGCGTGCCACCTTTCTTTCACCTTGGAAATAATGAAGATGATTTGCCAGTCGTGTTTCGCTTTCCTCTTCCCTCTCCTTTTTTCTCTCTTGCCCTTTCGTAATTTTTGTTTCACCTTTCTTTACTTACTCTCTCTGTCTGTCTCTGTCTCTGTCTCTCTCTCCCCTCTCTCTCTCTCTCTGTCTCTCTGTCTCTGTCTCTCTCTCTCTCTCTCTCTCTCTCTCTCTCTCTGTCTGTCTTTCTGTCTCTCTGTCTCTCTCTCTCTCTGTCTCTCTCTCTCTCTCTCTCTCTGCCTATCTATCTATCTATTTTTCTCTTTCCCCATTTCCTATCTACTTTTTCCCCCTTCTCATCTATCCTCTTAAACGTATACATTAAATGTTGTAGGGAAAGTTTAGCATTAGAATAAATCAGAAGTATTTTATGAGGGACGATAATCTTCTGACGGTGTCATTTGTAGCTTCCACAATCTCCGTCAAACCGCGTTTATCATGGTGCTGTATTGAGGAACAAAATACCCGAGAAAATAAGATATGTTGCAGTATCGTTTTTCTTTCAAAACAGAAACTCAAATAATAACTGTTACCTCAACAATAACTTTTCTTCTGTCTGTTTGTGTTATACATATTACTCTCTTTATACTTTCTTTTAGTTTATATTTTTTTATTGTTTCACTTCGTGCTACTTACTTCAACAAAGAAAACGTATAATAGATTAGGTAAAAATACATACATATTATATGTAAAATACGTGCAATACTCATATCATATGCAATTTATGTTCAATGCTCATATAATATGTATAACATACTTGGTGCTCATATATGTTATACATATACTTGTTCATACTAGTCTAAAGTTACTGCATAAAGAAAGTTTATACAAAGTTCTTGCTTTCCCTGAATACACATTATCAATATGTATTAATATATGTATTTTGGACTTTACTCGATTTACTATTTATGGCCATATAAAGGTTTCTATTCTGATTTTGATCCTTATTCAGCCTTCCTTTTCCCTCTTTCTCTTTCCGTTCTCATTTCTCTACTTTACTTTTCTTTCCTTTGTCTCCCTCTTTCTTAACCCTTTCTTAGCCTTCCCTTCTTATCGTTTCCTTCTTCTGTTTTCTTTCGTGTCCGTCCTCTCTGGCTCTTCCCTTTCCATTCTCTCATTTCCTCTCTCCAATTCTTCTCTTTCCCCTCCTTTCTTCCCTTTTCCTTCTTCCTTCCCTTTCTTCTCTTACCCTTCCTTTCTTTATCGTTCCCTCGTCTTCTTTTCCTTCTCTTCTCTCTCCCTTCTTCTCCTGACTTTTCTTTCTTCCTTCCTTCTCCTCTCTTCCCCTTCCTTTCTTTATCGTTCCCTAGTCTTCTTTTCCTTCCATTTTCTCCACCTTCCTCCCTTTTCCTTCTCCCTTCCTTCTTCTCTCTTTCTCTCTTCTTCTTTCTTTCTTTGTCGCCTCTTTTTTTCTTCTCTTATCTTTCCCTTCTTCTCCTCCCTTTCCCTTCTTCCTTCCTTCTCCTCTATTCCCCCTCCTTCCTTCCTCTCTTACGCTTCTTCGCCTCCCTTTTCCTTTCTCCTCGCCTCTTCTCCTTCCTTTCTTTCGCTGCCTCCCCTCCTCCCCCTCTCCCTCCACTGCAACACGAGTATGTTTCTTCACAACACTTTCTGTTTAATGACGTACATTACTCGGATATTTGGCAAATTTCAACGGGCGTTTCTTCTTTCTCTCCCCCACCCCCTCCCCCCACCACCGCACCCCCCTTTCCCGCGCTCCTATCCCCAGATACTCTACCCTTCCTCCCCTCCGTCTCTTCCCCTCCCTCCTTCGTCTCCATTATCCACCTCTTCCCTTTTCTCAACTCCCTCGCCATTCCTTCTCCTTCCTTCCTCCATCCCTCATCACCTCCCTCCATCCTCCATCTCTTCTCCTCCCTCCCTTCCCTTCATCATCTTCATTCCCCTCCTCTTCCCTTCCATCTTCATCTCTTCCCTTCCATCCTCATCACTTCCCTTCCCTCAACTCCCTCGCCATCCATTCTCCTTCCTTCCTCCATCCTCCATATCTTCTCTTCCCTCCCGTCCCTCCTTCATCTCCATCCCCCTCCTCTTCCCTCCCATCCTCCATCCACTCCATCCTCACCTCTTCCCTTCCCTCAACTCCCTCCATCTCTGCTCCTCCCTCCCTCATCTCCTCCCCTCCCCCCCCATCTCCTACCTTGACTTGGCTGCCAAGGGAGTATCTTTTACATAATTAGTTTATTTATCTATTTTTTCGCGGTGTGGGGGGTGTGGGGAGGGTGGGGGTGGGGGTGAAAACGCGTCTGTGGGAGGTTTTAGTGTTTCGTCTCGCCTGCTGCAGACATTAAACTACAGTGAAAGAGTAGTTCGGCTGACCTCTTAATTAGGGCCACACGCGTTTTGCACTTAAGAAATAAAAGAAGACTGAAGAAGAGAATGAGGAAGAAAAGAAAAGAAAAAAAATAACTAAGAAGGATCGTGTTCCTTTTTTTAACGGGGGATCTGTTTCGATATTTACTGTGAATTGCTTTTCTGTTTCATCGGGTTCGTTTATGTCAGCGAAGGTGTGTGTTTATATACATACACTTGTATACACGTAGACCCTAACATTTAAATAATAACATATCACTATTATATCTTCATCAACCTGCAGCCAATTTAAACGTAATAATTTGGAGAATAATTGCTACGTTCATATAAAGTTAATTTTCTTGGATTTGAAATTAAGTTTCCTGACTTTCTTACGCTGTAAAATAAATTGCTTGTTTTTGTTTGTACGCATTGTATTTCATTATATTTTGTTCTTCCTGAGTATGCGCTATTTCACACACCGTCATAAATTTGACAATTCTTTTTATGTAATCTGTGGTCTTTTGGTTCTGTCACTCCCTGTAGGAATGGGCTATATTTTACACAAAATCTATAATCATTCCGACCTTTGCGGTGCAAGTATCTGCAGGAATTTATGTTTCAATACAAAATATTCTTTATCTCAACCTTCTTTCCTCTTCACGCAATTGATAAAATATTACGTTGGATGACAAATACGTTCTTAAACGTTGAAACAACTATAAATAAAAATATAAAAAAAAACGTTACAGCGTTCAACTTGTCTTTCCCTCACCGCACACATAAGCTCTACAAACATATAAAGCCGAAGGATATAATTTTCTTTCGGCGCAAAGCCACGACACATTTCTAGGCACAAGTACATGGCCAGGCAGCGCATTCAACGTGGGAGATAATGTACCTCGTGCATGCAGTCCGTTGTTAATGGAGACTTAGTGGTGAAAAATTAAAGAAATGTAAATATACAAGTTTCGAAGTCCTTGCTTTGATATCTTCACTCGCAGGTGCCAAGAAGTTCATAGTGAAGTGTCACCGAGACATTCTTTAAGGAGACACTAACTAATGCAAACTTATGCACGCAAAGATGCTGACACATGAACAGAATACACCAATTATTTAGAACGACTCCAAACCAAGGGTTTTATTACTATGAGTAATCACTCTTATCTCCGTGTTATTGCATTGTGTCTATATTATCCTTGTAATGTCATAACCAGTAAGAAGATGTCGCACGGCAATCTTGAGTAATGACTCAAAGCTCTGAATAAAATGTCCTGTCACATATATTCCAACTGTGAAACTTCTTAGATTATATAACGATGGCATTTGTTGAGACACTGTCAGTATTTGAAAAAAGAAAGGATATTTTGGTCCAAACCACACAATTATAACTTTATTGATATCTTGGGAGAATCATATATGGTGTTAAAAATTTCTACGTTTATTTCTTATACGAAGAAAAAATAATGTATGCAAGGCAATTAGAAAAAAAATTGCCAAAATATAAATGTGAACAATATATGGACAATGTTTGATGATAGGTTTGAATGAAATGAATATCTTATACTTATATATTGTACATATGTTTTCTTACAATACATTAGCACAGAACAAACTATAGGGTCGTGGCGAATAACTCTTTTACTTAAATTACTTTAATTGGAATTAATTTTGTAATCTCATTTTATATCTATTTTGTTTCCCATCTCTCCAAAACAAATATGAAAAATATGGTAAAATTTTACTACATAGGCATTTATCCTTGAAGATAAAAAATAAATAACTTATCTTTCCCATAGAGTTTAGCAAAATGTTAACTCATAATCATAATATTTGTTTTTATTTTCAAAGTGAATTTTCGGAAACTGTTCACTCATCCTGCTCAGTCTGCCATTCATGTTCTGCTGTCTTCCACATATTTTCCACAGGTCATGAACCCGTCTTCGGGTACAGGGACCCAAGAAATTTACAACCCGACTTTTCACTGAGCAACTGCCTGGTATTCGACGCACTTCGAAGGCGCAGCTGGGAAGTACTGCTGGCACTTGGTCATGAGCCGCTTGAGGCCCTGGATGTACTTCCGCTGCGTTTCATCGTTGAGGACGTGGGCCACGTGTTTACTGAAGATCTTTTCTCGCCCTGTTCGCGCGTGGATGCCCACCATGGTCACGCCGATGGGCCAGGGGGCGTTGCCGATGGCCATCTGCAGGTAAGCGTCGTTGGCCTTGACGTAATCGCGCTCCAGGCAGTGCTGCACGATCTCCGTCAGGCACTCCATGATGTCGTCGGGTAGAGACCTCTTCTTGAGGCACTTGATCAAGGGCTTCAGGTACGACTGCGTCTGCGTGTAGGTAGCGGAGTCCATCTTCCCCCGGACGCTGAGCTTCTCCGCCTCCGGACGCGCGTTGTGCTTGCTGCCCCACAACTGCAAAATCAGCTCGACAAACTTAAGGATGACCTTGCACCTGAGTTCGAACGAGGCGTTGCCGTTGTTGAGGTCCTTCGCCGTCTCGATCAGGCTCTCCATCGTGATGATTTCGCCCGTGAGAGAAACATTTCGGACGCCGTCTCCTCCTTCCGTCTTCAGGATTTCGTTGAGGTAGGCTTGGTCCACCCGCTCCAAGGCCTCCTGGAAATCGTTCCTCAGACCCCGGTTCACCTCCGGCTCCAGGATCTCCAGCCGCCGCAGTCTCTTGAAGGCGTCGTGCTCCGTCTCGCCGAAGAGCAAGATGGGCTCCTCCCTCTCCCTCAGCCTCCGGAGGACCTCCGCGCGGGGGAGCTCTGGCGCGTCACCCACCTCCTGGTTCACCTTGTCCTGCGACCGCGAGGCCTCGCCCTCTTGGTTGGAGGAGCCGTCCTCTCCCTCATTCCCGTCCCGAGGCCCGACGCCCAGTCTCTTCCAGTAGGCGTCTGCCTGGCGGGCGCTCAACTCGGCCCGCTTGAAGTACTTCTTGTCGCCCTCCATGACATTGCTCTCCTCCAGGGACCTCCTCTTGGATTCGATCTCCTTCTTTAATAAGCTTAACATCTCGATCTGTAAAAGAGGAAACCAAAGAAGGGCTGTTAAGTTTCCGATCTAACATTTTATCATTTAGAGTAAGTCGGCGCAAGAAACTGCAACATGGTAGAAAATTTCGTGAGATAAATGCAAAAAAGGGTTGACAGTTTCTCCGCTTTCAACACCAACTTTTACCATCATTTTTACAGACCTTATAGTTCTTATACTCATAATGAGAACTTGAAACCAGATTATCAACCACTGGCAGGGCAAATATAGACTAACCCTGAATAAAATATATGGAGACAATACAATTCCTTGGTAATATTCATCTATGTAAACTAAAACCTAAATGCTATATTCTGCTACATTCTTATCTCTCTCTCTCTCTCTCCCTCTCTCTCTCTCTCTCTCTCTCTCTCTCTCTCTCTATATATATATATATATATATATATATATATATATATCTGTATCGAAACATTACACCGTCTCTACCTAAGTCCTCGAGAATTACATACATTGCCAGGAAGTAAAACCGCTAATTACGTAGATAATGATTACACTGCAGCATCCAAATGGCATTATCTATGTCATTAGGCAATGTCTTGGCTCTGGCTTGGCCAACTACCACGAGAGAGTACGGGTTTAATGGCCTACTCCATCTTCATACCCTTGGCTCCCTCCCCCCGGTGCCCGGGACTCTAGTGATTAGCGCCTGTACAAACATTGACCTGCGTCCAGAACCGAACGACACCGATGTGCCCAAAAGCGAGCGATTCCGACCCTTACGGACGATTTTAATGGACTTTCCCCTCGACTTCCCACGGTGCCCAGGACCTTTGGGTAATCGCCTGTGCCGAGTCTGACCTGTGCCCAGAAAATAACGACAATAGTGAAGTGCCCACAGAGCAAATGATTCCAGCCCTTATCGTCGAATGTTCTATAACTGCATGTTAATTTATATCTTGATTATACTCAAAATGTTTGTCAAAAAATCCTTATTCTCAATCACTATGTTTGTAATCATTGTTATTGCCGATATTGTAGTTATCTGATGTTGACTATATAATTGTATTGTCTTACCCAGTGTAACCGACCTAACATGTGACCACAAGACCTTTACCCTGTTGTAAACCAGAGGGCCAGTATTGACATTTCCCACGAAAGAATAATGTTGCCATATTATTGTGTTAGTGAATATTTTGTGAACCATTCAAAATCTCAGAGAGCCGAAGTCACTCTGCCCTCAGCATCGGCTCAGGCAACACCTCAAGTTCCAGCTCTCTCTCGAGACCGCTCGCCTGCGGGCGTGGCACGAGGCTTCGCTCCTCCTTGGGCGACTCTGCCACGCCTGACCTCTGTATCCCACCGCTGCCACCACTGTAATAATAGGTGGTTTTGATCCCGGAGTGATCCCACCTCGATGGCACCAAATTATGTAGTGTACTGTGGAATGCCGACCCGCTCAGTCGTGGGTCATGCCGACCCGCTCAGTCGTGGGTCCCGCCTACCCGCTCCACGGCATCTTACCTTCCACCTGCGCGCCACGCCGGGACCAAGTCACCCTGCATCCCCGCCGTCGAGACGTCGCCCTCACTGCAGCAGGATCGAGGACGATCCTGAGTAGCTGGCCGAGCGGTTTAATGGCCTACTCCATCTTCATACCCTTGGCTCCCTCCCCCCGGTGCCCGGGACTCTAGTGATTAGCGCCTGTACAAACATTGACCTGCGTCCAGAACCGAACGACACCGATGTGCCCAAAAGCGAGCGATTCCGACCCTTACGGACGATTTTAATGGACTTTCCCCTCGACTTCCCACGGTGCCCAGGACCTTTGGGTAATCGCCTGTGCCGAGTCTGACCTGTGCCCAGAAAATAACGACAATAGTGAAGTGCCCACAGAGCAAACGATTCCAGCCCTTATCGTCGAATGTTCTATAACTGCATGTTAATTTATATCTTGATTATACTCAAAATGTTTGTCAAAAAATCCTTATTCTCAATCACTATGTTTGTAATCATTGTTATTGCTGATATTGTAGTTATCTGATGTTGACTATATAATTGTATTGTCTTACCCAGTGTAACCGACCTAACATGTGACCACAAGACCTTTACCCTGTTGTAAACCAGAGGGCCAGTATTGACATTTCCCACGAAAGAATAATGTTGCCATATTATTGTGTTAGTGAATATTTTGTGAACCATTCAAAATCTCAGAGAGCCGAAGTCACTCTGCCCTCAGCATCGGCTCAGGCAACACCTCAAGTTCCAGCTCTCTCTCGAGACCGCTCGCCTGCGGGCGTGGCACGAGGCTTCGCTCCTCCTTGGGCGACTCTGCCACGCCTGACCTCTGTATCCCACCTACCACGCTACCGCAGAATAAAGTATTGAAGCTGTATCAACTTTAACTATCAACTCCACGACACTTCACTTCAAGACACAAATCACTGTACCATACTAGAAAAGAGAGAGAGGAAGTCCACAGTACACTACATAATTTGGTGCCATCGAGGTGGGATCACTCCGGGATCAAAACCACCTATTATTACAACGGGGAGAGAGAAAGGGAGAGACTAAGAGGACAGAGTTATAGGCAGAGTAAGAGGAGGGAAGGAGGGAGGGAGGGAGGGAGGGAGGGAGGGAGGGAGGGAGGGAGAGGGAGGAGGAGGGAGAGGAAGAGAGAGAGAGAGAAAGAGAAAGAAAGAAAGAAAGAAAGAGAGAGAGAGAGAGAGAGAGAGAGAGAGAGAGAGAGAGAGAGACAGAGAGAGAGAGAGAGACAGAGAGAGACAGAGAGAGAGAGAGAGACAGAGAGAGAGAGAGAGACAGAGAGAGATAGACACAGAGAGAGAGAGAGAGAGAGAGAGAGAGAGAGAGAGAGAGAGAGAGAGAGAGAGAGAGAGAGAGAGAGAGAGAGAGAGAGAGAGAGAGAGAGAGAGAGAGAGAGAGAGAGAGAGAGAGAGAGAGAGAGAGAGAGAGAGAGAGAGAGAGAGAGAGAGAGAGAGAGAGAGAGAGAGGGAGAGAGAGAGAGAGGAGAGTAGAGGAGAGAGAGAGAAGAGAGAGAGAGAAAAGGCTGTATATGTGTTTATTATATGAATGTAGGTGTGTGTCTGGAATGTGGGTGTCTTATCTACTGCATTTTTAGAATTAAGAAGAAGAAGAAAAAGAAGAAGAAAAAGAAGAAGAAAAAAATGCGGGTCACAATACTAGCAACCACAGAATAAACTAGAATATTTCAATACCACAAGACTAACAAAAGAAGAAGTATCATCACTCATACCAATATTGTGCCACCTGAGTTCACACCCATCCACATACTACACTGACTATAGTGCTGGAAAAATAATATTCTGGAGAGAGAGAGAGAGAGAGAGAGAGAGAGAGAGAGAGAGAGAGAGAGAGAGAGAGAGAGAGAGAGAGAGAGAGAGAGAGAGAGAGAGAGAGAGAGATAATGAGAGAAAGAGAGAAAGAGAGAGAGAGAGAGAGAGAGAGAGAGAGAGAGAGAGAGAGAGAGAGAGAGAGAGAGAGAGAGAGAGAGAGAGAGAGAGAGAGAGAGAGAGAGAGAGAGAGAAAGAGAGAGAGAAAGAGAGAGAGAGAAAGAAAGAGAGAGAGAGAAAGAAAGAGAGAGAGAGAGAAGAGAGAGAGAGAGAGAGAGAGAGAGAGAGAGAGAGAGAGAGAGAGAGAGAGAGAGAGAGAGAGAGAGAGAGAGAAATCCTATTCCATCTCTATTTATCTTTTTTGGCAACTGGTAAATTTGATGTATCCAAACACTTTTAAAAGGAATATTCAAATTACATGACCGAGAATACACACAGTAACATTTTACAACAAATGTG